ATAAAAGCGTAACAAAACAAAGGTTAATAAATTAATGTAAATAAAATCAGAAACCAATCTTGGGGAATCGTGGATCCCCAGCAGTTGCCGAATTCGTAATATTTCGCGTCACGTAAGCCAAAGACGTGGCTAAAATTTTTAACGAATGAAGGCATCAATATCCTTAGTAGCTGATGTTCAAATAACAGAAGCAATTGTGAAACAATAGAAGTTGCAGCAAATGCATTGGTGCTTCGTGGAATGCGGGTGGAGGCAATCGAGGCTAACGTCGTTTAAGAAACCTGTGAAATTGTCGCTGTCGCCCATTAGGCTTTAGCCTTGAACACCTGTTCGTGTGAGGTTAGGCAGTAGACACATCGACACCAAATTAACCAATTAGCGAGTAACTGATCTGCAAAAATCGTCCATACACAAGGTTCAGGCAGGTCGGGTAGGGCTTGGCACTTGTACCACCACATCGAAATGAGACAAGTAAAGTATTGCAACTTCACTCAATTAATTCTTTGAAGGATAATCTAGTCAACGAGACTGAATGAGAAATCGTTGCGATAAGAGTGCCTAATCAGGAAATCTGTCCTTTATTGGATAAACAAGACTGCATCACCATGCTCGGGACTGTTGTCAAGGAATGTAACATTTCTATCTGCATTGCGACAGTGATAGCAGCACAGATGATCTAGCAGAATCCAATTTGATGTTGTGGCAATTGGGATACCATTCACCGACATCGCATCTAGTCATTTTGAATAGCGACCTTGTTAGTTCGTCATGGACATTTTATTTCGGTCAATTGCGCAAAATTGACTGCTAAGTTTCACGGGCGTGGCATCAAGTCTAAATTAGGCACAGCACTTCTGTTCAAATGGTCATCTATTTAAGCAAATTCTGAAGTGTGAATGCCCAACAGCTAGGACAGTGGGACTAGAGATTAAGTTGAGGTAAAAAGGAAGAAATTCGTTGACTTGTTGCATGTACACGTGGTAATCGAATCGACGAGTTATCCCCGATAGGCAAGACGCGGAGCCAGCCAGAGTAAACCATGGTAAAGCAATATAAAATGCTTCCGGAGAGGGAGAGAGAGTAACTGGAAGCTGTGAATCAGTTCACACCTCGAATTGTCTGTACCAGTTGGAAGTACCTTCAAGATGATGATGACAGTAATGCGGAAAGAGGCACTGCGTACTTTAGAAATGCCGAAAAATTATGCCTTTAAAGCTTTATTAAACGAATGGTCCATTTGAGACGTTGTCGGATCAATTCATTTGACCGAAAACACCGCTGCTGGGCCATACAATGTTGAGCTATCGCCTGAGTGTTGCAGTGAAATTTGTGACTCTGGTTTTATCCAATTATTTCAGCCCTCAGACAACACGTGCAGCCATTGTGGGAGGTGGTGACCTGGCAGTATGACTTGGTAAACATCCGTGATGCTCAGTGGGAAACTGGGCGTGATTCCAGCTTGCTTCTGTCAGCGCTGAGAATTCGACGTGTGTGAAGGCCAATGGAAGTTCGTGGGAGTAGGATTTAGGGTAACTGATTCCACTCATTCTGAAGGCCAACCGACACCAAAATGGTTACGTCATGATTCATCAAGACATTGCAAATTTTTAAATTTCTTGTACTAAACAAAAGTTGTTCTTTTCTCTACAGACCATTATTTAGTGTTTATTGTGAAAGTGAGAGCAGCTGTGAAAGTCCACACGAATGCCGTCGGCTACATCTGGAGGTTCCTTGCTTAGAGTAGTTTGCTCTGCTGCGGTTACCATGACAATTATTTCAATAGACGAGTGCATTTGAGTTTGCTCAATCAGTGTACCGATTTGTGTAGCCTTTGCACTACAACCCATACCGTTGCTAGTGAATGCTCAGGTTGTGAAGATGGGCGACCAAATACGTTGACTTAATGACCAATAAAGTCTCAGGCAATGAAGAGCGTCATCGTTTGAGTGACCCAATGAGATCAGACTGGTAGAATCAAACAGCAAAACATTTGTTTTGTGCGCACGACAAGGTGATTGGATTATTGAATTTGCAAATTACATGAGTTTGGCACTGCTGCAGAATTCTAACTCCATTGTGAGCTTAAAGAGTAGCTAGAAGTGGGCAGATGTGAAAATGAAGGTCGCTGCATTGCATGAGGTAACCGGTATTAGTGCGTGCGTCTCCTGTATTCAAGCAGCATTTAAGTTTATCGAGAATGTGTATTACGAATCAATTATATCTGTCTCAATGGTTATTTAATGAACTGGACGATTGTCCTGTTAGGCGATTAGAATTTGCAGGGACATTAGAATCAAACATGCTGTGAATTTAACCAGATGACCTGCGATTTGAAGCTACCAATCCGTGATTTGCGTTCCATCGCGCTCATTTTAAGACAAACATTGATACATGATTAAAAGTGCATTTACAACTCTCCTTCAGGTTAATTCACTGCTGCATTCTAGTTGATGTAGCTTTCACGCTGAGAAGGGCCAGGTCGCAGATAATACTCTCTTGAATCACGGTAAAATACCTCCGTAATTGAGTTGGGTGTTGAGTTGGAAATATTTTCTACAAAGACAGATGACATTCATGATTCAGTTTTAACTGCCTTTTCCCAATCACACTATGTGGACAATGTCTACGCAGAAAGTCAGATAAAGCAACGCGTTGGATTGCTCTTCCACCTCCCTAGACGACTTGAACCAGGTGTTCAGCAACGCAGTTGAGCGAACTTCTCATTCACCTATGAACCCATGTCAATGGATCATTGAGGATTCGTAATTGTCCGTCCTCATGATCTGTTTACTCACACCGTTTTTGGAAGATAGATTGAAAATCTGGCAGCTAGAGGTTCTGAATACTGACCTCTGCATTGTTGCATCCGGCTATGAATCAAGGCACAATGTTTTGACCCAAAAGACCGACTAGTTTTTCCGCTCTCCACAGTCAGTGAATGTACAATACGTTTTTAAGCTTGACGCGATTTGCAACAAAATGATGCAAAATTTGGCACAGTGAGTTTGTCAGGGCTTGATAGACAAAGTGATCGGCACTGCGAGTGCTTCGAATTCATGCCACTTAACTGAGATCAATGTTGACATGTTGGCGTTGTGTGAGTTTGTGCAAGTCGAGGCCAGGTGTTATTTACCACAAACACAAGAAGTACTCTGAATACTCACGTAAGCGACGTCACAGCGACCAGCAAATGCAGAAAATCGCCTGCCGCATGACAGTCTCGACTTAATTTCAGGAAATCGGTATGACAAAACTACTCGAAGGCAAATTCTTACTGATCGAGGGTTGGCTTTTCGCCTGACCCGACTTGTGTGCCATCATGAGCGCTATTCACTTACCCTGATTCCTACATTTAAACACTACGTGTTATGTTTACATGCCACAATTATGATTTACCGTTAGTTTCACTGTACTGGTCATGTTGAACTGCAAATCGGATCCGCCAATGCCCGTGTTTAATGCCGCAACATTTATTGCAACCTGCAACGTGTTGGCTTACGTCCATTGGCCCAATTGTCCAAAAAGCCCTGCTCATCACCAACTCCTTCTCACAGCGTCTTCACTGACCTTGCGAATCTGTCTCTTCAAATATTGCTGTGAAGGTACATCTCACCCACTCCACCCCACCCCACCCCCACTCATTCCATTTAACTAGCCGTTCAGAAGTGTGTGTGTGTGTTACGTGTTCCCCTCACCGCATTGATCAACGACGCGAATTTGTCAGAAGTGCATTTTATACACCGTAGCGCCACGAACAACTTGACAGAACGATTTACCGTGGAGTTGAGTCGCCTTATTTTTCTCCATGTCCCGTTTCTTCGTGGAGTACTTGGTGCCGCGGCTTACCACACCGTGATGACTGATGCATTCAAGCCTAATTAACGATATTTCAATGCTGCAAATTCATGGAAGTAAGAAAGACAAACTGCTAATTAAAACAAACCAAATAGATCATTTTTCTCTGGCCCATTCAATGCGCAACTAACTAGCCACAGCGAAAGAGTGTAAAAGATAATTGCAGAAATAAGTGAATTTAATCAATTAACTTAAAGTCCTTTGAATAATCGCATTCACTTGCAGGTGCACGGCAAGGTTTGGTTTGCTAGCTGCGCATACATGCATATTCACAACCCCATTTGAAGTAGAATCGATTAGAGTTGCCAAGACAACCTCCGTACACAAAGCGAATGCAACGCTTTTGGGCTGCGTCGAATCCCCACATCAGCAGGAAATTTTGGCATGGACCCTGCTCAATTGGAAGCGTGCAGGGATTTACGTACGCTGAAGTGAAACAACAAAACACACACCTAGTTGTCCAGCTTTCTTAAACGCAACAATAACAATCATCGATATTAATTAGGTTGGAGCGCATCTCAAAAAACAAAACGCATGCAAAATGCACAGACTGTTTGTGTCGATTAAACAACCACAACTCAAGATGATGCGGATAGCACCGAGAACGGAAATTGCAAACATGTTCGATTCGTCCCTCGTGTGTTAGCTGCCTGTGGTTCCTTACTACATCATCCACTGCAGAAATTTATCAGGCAGGTGTGGCAACAAGCCGTAAGCCAGTCGTGTCAACACAGCGGAAACTGCCGTGTTTTGCATCTTCGCTGATGACGCAACAAGTAATTTTGCAGGCGTAAAGAGAACCAATGACGACTTGTTAGCTCGTTGGTTGGCCCGAACTGGCCAACGTTTCATGCTGTGTCGAAGGGAGATGAACAATAATTGTGGAAAATGGGAATATGGAGCAAAACAGCATTCCAAAACCGTTTTACTTTTAAATTAATTCAATTGCATAACCGAACAATCGTTGTGTAGTGTGATAAGGAGATAATGTTGTGAATGTTTACCGTGACAACGAACTCCATCGGCTGTGAGAAAACTTACCAAATTATTTATTCGCAAACTTGTTTTATGACATTGAGGAAAGTGTCATCTAGAAGGAGCACAGCCTTGGGCCATAACGCATGCAGCTCAGAACGTCAACGGAAATTAACCGTGCCAGTAAAATAGCGGAAACTAAAAGCAACGAGATATCAGCTCTAAACTGAGCATGCGCACACTGTGGAGGAGAGAGGAGGCACCATGAACGAGGCGAAGATGTGCAACAGGACAGTTGCAGCCCCACATGGGCACGTAGAAACGACAAGGGCCATTTCTGATTGGAAGATGGCAGGCATCAATTTGTGCTACGCGAGTTTAATAAAAATACCGACTATGAGAGTGCAATACAAGGGCTGAATCCGCGGAGTCGATCACAACAAACACGGTGCTGCTGTTGTTGTCGAAGTTGTGTGGGCATATTACGAAGCATAAATGCACCCATGTGTTTTGGCAGACAGTGTAACAACATGTCAGTGTGAAGCGAAGCAACGTAAAATGGCATTGTATAAAATATGTGCTTACTTTCTAAAGCGCTGGCCGCGCAAACTGTCAGCAGAAAGATTGCCACGAACATGACTGATGTGCTCTCTGATGGCGCACTTCGCTTCCTCCAATTTATAAACGTCACGGTGCGACAAGGTCTAGGTGGCTATTGGTGTGAATCGAAGTCGCTGGATTGGGCTCTTTTGGCAACATTGAATGTATGGATTTGTAGTGAATGCATGGAAGTATATTCACTTTTGCCCAAACCATATCAATGCTCTGCAATGTATCGTTGTATATTTTACACAAAAATCACGTCAGACGAAGAAGAAAATGTAGTGGCATTTCAGTTCTATTTGTGGAAAGAGTAAGGTGAAATATATTTACATGGTTTTTGAATCGGAAACACACAGCTTTTGTAGACTTTTGAAACCGTTTCATACGGAACACGCCAACAGCCTTCACTTGTTTTCGAAGGTGTCAACATGGTGTGCTAACCGACATAAACCAACATTCCCATATGCTCCCGTACAACTCCTACGATGCGAAAAGAGACGTTTAATTAACATAGCTTGAGGATGTCGCACAACGCTAGACATCTTTGACTGCTGACTGTGGTATTGATGTTCATTGAATTGATGTGGTAATGATGGAATTGATGTTCATGATTGAATTAAATGTGTTTTTGAAGAAGAACAAATCGAGAAATGCTGGTGGTTTTATAGATCTTTAAATGTAACCTCTTTCTGCAATAGAGAACTTGACGTTTCTTAATGCGTAGACCAACTTATTTGCAGAAAAAAAAATAATTCCAACTCGAAACTGTTCGGCATGGACTGCCAGGCTCAAAAGTGGTTCCACCATCAGTACATCTGGATTCCCACAAGCACGCACAGAAGCTATGAAGTGTCAAAACCGATTTCTCCCTCGTAATTCGCAGAAGATGTTGAACTGCACAGTCGAAGTGTGTTACATACGTGCCCCTGTTTCGATGTGCCGCCAATAAACTAGAAGGGGTACACTGTTCGTGGCAATGAGCCCGCGGCAGTCACCTTTAATTGTTCATTCATGCTAATTGCTGATTATGACCCTCTGGGGCTGTCTGTTGACTATTGTGACAGAAGCGCGTTTTCGACAGCAATATTGTTGCTGTCTTCGTGATGCCACTTTCGGGTGCACTTAGACTGACAGAGTTCCTGTGGGGTGCTAAAAAGAGGAATTGTTGAGTGTTGAGTGTTTTCGCTGCTTTGCCAATCAGAGACATGAACGTAAAAGTAATCAAGAATTGCGTGCGACTATCACAAACAGCAGTGTCGTTGCTTACTAACATGCATTACAGCTGCCAATTACCCTACTCCTGTTGTGCCAATAAATGTGCATAAGTGTACTACTGAAATATTCGCATCAAATTAGTGCCGTATTACTTCAATACACCACGCAGTAGGCCGTGTCTTCTAGTGAGAACGACGATATTTTAATACACTGAGTAATGAATCACGCTTGATGTCACCTGAATTTACCTAGAAACTTAGGTGGTAATTAATGCGGATTGTTAGGTCGAATCCTCCACACTGACACATTGAACAAGTAATGTCGTTTCCATAGTTGGGAGTTGCTAGCATTGAGAGAACAATCCCGTGGAAGTGAATAAGGCGAATTTGCTGCCGGTAATGCGCATGGAATCGATTTTAAAGTGGTCCAATGTCAACAACTGCCTTGCTGCATTCATCTTACGGCCATCACGACAGCATATTGACGGTGGCACTTGACCAAATGGTCGATCAGGTTTGACAATAAACACATCTTGACGAATCTGAGTTGGTACAGCTTCAATGGGAATTTTAGATTTCCAGCCTTTGGCGTTACGGATACCACTTCAGATTCCTATATTGTTTCTGTAAGAGGAACATTTTTAACATTAACTGCAAAACTGTTTATTTATTGTTACCAAACTGGCACAACTCAGAAGCCTTGAATCACACCAATCAGCATGAAGGCGTCATCAGAGCCAGAAGTATTTAATTCGGAGGAAATGTGGCTGAAAAAAGCTTTGGTTTGCAACCCCACACAACCAGAAAGAAGGAGAGAGAGATTTGTCTTTAGAATGCACATTTAATTGAGACAATTTCACAAATAGCTCTGACAAAATCTAGCCTTAGGAGGATGAACGTGATTTAACGGCGCTGGCATGCCTGTTCACAATCCTTTTCCGTTTCGAAATTGTTCATGTTGCCTACACAACCGCTATAGATGAAGCGTCCACAGGTGCCTGTGGCTGCGTTGTACCCCCACTTTGGGTAACTGCCTCGCCAGGGTCCTTGAATGATCGGTTGATGGCAGTGTTCTTGGTCCGCTAAAACAGCTCAAAATGAGCTCCACGGAATGTGCTTATATTTCTAACCATTTTGGAGGCACAAACCATAATGGAGTCAACCAATTGAACACACGAGCGGATTTTAGCGGAAATGTACTCTGAGATACTAACAAAAGACGTGAGAAAGCAGCCACGTAAGTTGGTACTGCGAAATACGTCTGCGTACCTTCTGAGAAGCTGGCCACACAAACTGAGAGAAAGAGGAGTTCAACGAACATGATTGGGCCTCTGTCTGAAGAGGCACACCCCACTACCACCGGCTGAAGTACTGCGCAGTTGGATCACGACTGCGTGGTTATGGGTGTGGTTCAATGTTGCTGGTTTGTGACATCTTGGCAACATTGAATGTATTCATTTGTAGGGATTACATGGAACTACAGTCATCTGTGCCAAAACCACGTCAATCCTCACCCATGTAGCGATTCCTCAGTCTTCGACAAAGAAAATACCGGGAAAGGCTGAGAGATTACTTTTGATTGTAAAATGAAAATAATTCAATCCTAATTTGCAGTCTTCCTTGATTTCATGCTTCTGTTTTGTCCTCAGTATAAACAGCGACAAATAAAACACAGAGAATGGCTAAGAATTTATGTTCGACTTTAAAATCCAAAGTATTTCAAATTCCTGTGTTGCAGGATTCCTGGACATTAGCCATCTTTTCGTGGACATGGCGTGCCCAAGCACAGGGTGGTTATGCCCTCGACACAACCAAAATTCTCATATTTATTAAATAAGGATTAATTAGGCCTAACAACGCCAGACAAACTTGATTGCTAACTGAGGCGCTAATGATCATCTAAACATATGATTGTATTGAATACCATTCCCATATCAACTCGACGCCAATTAAGGGAACATGAGAGGCGGTATAACTTGTGCATCTGTTAACCTGCAAGTATAACAGTATATTTTACTTTCTTTGTTGCTGACAAACGCCGATCTGAATGTTGAATAGCAGACAAATGCATAAAATATGGATGTTTGCCTGAGTGGGAATGAACGAAGTCAAGTGTTTCACCTTGAGAAAGCAATGATATTTGCTTAGAGGTTAAGATGGTTGACGTGGAATTGGTGGGAGTGGATGTGGCCCAGCAAACACGCTTCAAACTCTCACACTCAACGTAACCAATATGACGCAATCAGGTGACCTTGAACCACACCAATCAACACAACGACGCTGCCAACCCACACAGTATTTAATCAGGAGGAAGCGAAGGGTGTCGGCAGAGGGCAGATCAGTCATGCGCTTTGAGCTCGTTCTGGTCCCAGTTTTGTTGGCCAGCTTCTCAGAAGGTAAGCAGTCGTTTTTTACAGTGCCAATGCACATGGCTTCCCAGTGACGTTCCGTGATCCTATTTGCTGGAATGTCGGTCACTTAAACCGTCCATACGTTAAGGATTTTGTCAAGCTAGCATTGTGACACGATCTGCCATTTCACCCCATTATTCACGTTTGCTTTCACATATGTGCCAATATCTTGGCCTGTGGACTATAATCTGACATGTTTGTTGCTGTATTTAGCAAAATACGATCAGTGTTTACTTCGCTTCAACCGAGGCATCTGCAAATTTGACCCACCAAGGTGGAGCTACATATATTCAACGGACAAGTGCATTCCTGTTACCTCCGGGAGATGTCCAGAGAACAGAAACAATTTCAGGACGAAGGAGGATTGTGAGAATACATGTGTGCGTCGCAAATATGCTGAGGATTAGTGAACGCCGCGTGATGCCAAGATGACGTGTAAAGTTGTCTTTAATCTAAAATGTCAAGCATCCTCACCTGTCTTTTTAGCCCATTTAAATGCCAATCTTGAACACCGTTGGGGATCTGCGATTCCCTAAGATTGGTTTCTGATTCTATTTACATTAATTTACTAACATTTGTTTTGTTACGCTTTTATCAAGTCATGGTCAACCCAGACATGAATAAGTTTCGCTTTCACTTTCGATTTCACTTCTTCTCTGCACGTGGCTGACGTGAATGAAGCTCTCTACTAAAGCTCTGGTCTTGTTCTTGTATTGGCCTGGGAAGGTCGGTTCTAGCTTTCAGCAAGTGATCTGGTGCGGTTATTTGAGTGGTCTTCTCTATTGCAACGGGCGAACGTAACAAACACAAATACCATGATTCGTACAGTCAAACGACACTAATTAGTGCAATGACTTTGACGTTTGTGGTACTTCATGACATACGAGTGAGAAGTCGTGACAACAGAACTTTCGACACAATTTGTGTGTTCTATCGCTTGTAGAACGCACAAATTTTATTTTTCAACTTGCAGCATGCAGTGGATGCGTCGTGAAAAGCAGCTATTGTGTTGCTGCGCCATTATTTTTTAAAATGGTTCAACATGGGATCGCACGACAGCGGCCATCTTGTTCGCGATTGGTTGAAACCAATCGACCAACGGTATGCAAAGTTTGCTGTTTTAAGGTCCAGCTTATTAACGTGTAGTGCGAAACTACTGTTATATTTCCTGTTTTCGTTTTAAAAAATAACTACCAAATATCGGTGCTTGTTAAATCGCAAACGAACCACCAGCCGATTCAACTCGCTGATTTGAGACACATTTTTTGAAGAACGAAAACGCTCATATCAACAACTGCAGATGCCCAGAGAATAATTGCAGCATTTGCAGTACACGAATGATTTGGTAAACACCTTGGTGCAATATTTGTCATGTTATTCCCCATAACTCACTTCATCCCTCACCAGACAATACATGAAACCTCTAAGCGTTTTGGCTCCTCATTGTTGTTCTTCCTTTTGGGTGTGTCTGTTTGCTGGGGTCTAAGCTGTTGTGGTGATTTACAAATTTGTCCAGTGACCTTGCTAGTTCGTCAGAGACATTTTATTTCAGTTGATTGCACAAACTAGACTGCTAGGTTTCACAGGTGTGGCATCAAATCTAAATTAGGCACAGCAGCTTAGTTCAAAGGCTTAGTTACTTAAGCAAATTATATCTCAACACGAGGTCGCTAAATCTGAAGTCCCACTGCTCAACAGCTAGGACAGCGGGACTAGAGATTGTGTTGAGGTAAAAAGCAGGAAATTCACTGGCTTGTTGCATGTGCACGTGGTAATCGAATCGACGAGTTATCCCCGATAGGCAAGACGCGGAGCAAGCCGACGCCACCCACGGTAAAGTAACTTGAAATGCTTTCGGGGAGAGTAATTGGAAGCTCTGAATGACTTTACACCTCGATTAATCTTTACCAGTTGCCAATACCTTCAAGATTGTTTGTTGGATAAAGCGGGCTGGCGTTTGCATATCGAGATATTGCTGTGGAGAGAGGCATTGCTCTTCTTGGAACTGACACACGCATTTTAAAGACGTCGAAAAGTCATGTTTTCAAGGCTCAACTTAATGAGTGGCCCGTTTGAGACTAGGCGGGATTAAGGCATTTGGCCGAAGACACCGTAGCTGGTAAATCTAGTGTCAAGCAATTGGCTGAGGGTTAAGATGACATTCGTGACCGTAGTTGCACCCAATTATTTCAACCCTCAGACAACACGTGCAGCCATTGTGGGAGGTGGTGACCTGGCAGCATGACTTGGTAAACATCTGTTAAGCTCGATGGAAAACTTGGCGTGATTCTGGCTTGGTTCTGTCAGCGCTGAGAATTCGACGTGTGTGAGATCCACTACAAATTTGTGAGGGGACGAGAAAGGGTCACTGATTCCACTCATTCTGAAGGCCAAGCATTTGCCAAGCATTTGCCAAGTCCTTTGATGTCAATTGGAGAAATGAGCAATAATGGCCTTAAAACGCACCAAAATGTGTAATTTAAAGAAGGGCTGTTGTCCTAGTTATTCATTTCCGCCTGATCAAAACTTGGCCTTTTGACGGGTTGCATCTTTTCCCACAAGTACCATAATTGCCTCTGCTTTCAGTGATTAAATTTCCAGATTTTTCTTGGCTGTCTGTTGATTTATAATTAGTAGTGAATTTATGATCTTCCCACATCAGCCATTACGGAAGTTAATCAGGCAGGTGTGGCAACAAGTCGCAAATTAGTCATGTCAACACAGCGGAAACTGGCGTGCTTCAACTTTGCTGATTACGCAATCAGCAAATTTGCAGGCGAATGACGCGGTGCACACAAAGTTCTCTTGCACCAAATTGTCATCATAAAGAGCACCAATGACGACTTGTTAACTCGTTCTTTGGCCCAAACTGGCCAACATTTCATATTCTGTCGAAGGGAGATGAACAATTTATGAAAATGCAAACATTGCATAAGTCACAATTCCAAAATCGCTTCTTTTTCAAATAGTTCAACTTGAGTTCTTATCGACCCCGCGCAAAATTCATATTTATCTAAGGGCCTGATGACAAACTCGGTGACTACCTCGAAAATCATCAGTCGTGTACGTGTTACTGAGCTTGTATAAGACACTTATGCACACTAGGTAGGCTAGTACATCTCTATGGCATCTGCCATTAATTTCACTGGATAAATAACCAATCGTTTTCTAGCGCGAAAACCAGATAATGTAGCTAAAATTTACCGTTACAACTAACTCCATTTGTTTTAGGAAAATTTACCAAATTCTTTATTCGGAAACTTGTTTTATGGCATTGAAAAAAAGTCATCTAGTAAGTACAGCGTTGCATAACGCATGCAAATCAGAACGTCAACGAAAATTAACCGTGCCAGTAAAATAGCGGCAACTAGAAGCAACGAGATATTAGCTCTAAACTGAGCATGCGCACACTGTAGAGAGAGGGGGCACCATGAACGAGGCAAAGATGAGCGACAATACAACTTCAGGCGGTAGCCGACACGAGGAGATCACGAGGGACGCTTCCCGTCGGACGTCTTCGCTGGTTATAAATGCTGCGTGTAGCCATTGGCCCAAAAGTCTCGATATTCAGCTGACGCTCCCGGCGAGCATTGGACATGGAAGAGCCGTTGTCAGACCGACCGGAGTTGCCTTGTCCCAAGTTGTTTTCACGGTTTAGACGTCCACGCTCGCCTTTGACACCGCCAGTAGGACCTCGCGGGCCTCCCTCGGAACGACTTATTTGATCGAAGAAACACTTCTCGCGAACATAGAACTCACCTCTAAAATTGTTACCATCACAAACAGGAGTTTTTCCTTTAACATTACAATTTGTAACGTTAAATTTCTAACCAATCTCGCACCTAGACAAAGTCCGGATTCCGTCGACAGCTGTCAAAGCATCAATATCACCACCTCTTATGACAGTGACCACCCCTGTTGAGGAGTCACCTGAGGCTCCGCTGTCTGATGTTTTACCGGCAAAATTTACGCCTGATTCAGACGAAAGATGCACCTGCCTATCGCCGGAGTTGGGTGTAGCTTGGCGTTCTGCATTTTCGGATTCCAAATTTATTTTAGCAAGTTCGGCAGCAAGTTCCGCGTTGGCCGTTTCAAAGTCGTAGGGTTTAGTAGTGTCCAGGTCTGAAAAATGAATAGCAAACCGATGACAATCAAAACAAGTTGTTTTTGCCCAAAATCGAATTAATAAATCCGCAATACCTGACTTGGCAGGAGCCCCGCGAGGAGGTCCATTACGTCGTTCGTAATTACGCCTTCTTCCACCACTGCGTGGCCTACTGAAACTCGATTGAGGTAATACATTCACGCCATTTGTTCTGTAGACAGTAGCTACTTCTGGTGGCAAATAAACTATCATGCCACCATTTCTTGTATCTTGAGGGTAGGATACCCTGTTCCTGCCACCTGGCGGACGCGATCTGCGACCCTGGCGGCCTTCTTTCGGACGATAAGCTGGAAACTCACTTATCGGAGCAACAAAGCGGCCCCGACCGCCAGACGGCACTTGGACAGAACCGGCATTATATACCACGAACGGCTGACGTGAGGCACCAGAATTTCTACCACGGCGGTTGCCGTATGTGATCTGCCTAGGCCCACGATTGGGCTTTCTCTCCTTGGTGGTTTCTTTATTCGAATAGTGAGCAGAAGACACGCTGTCCCCGCTTATCGTCTAAATTGCATAAATGTACATTCAGTATACACAAAAATTAACATAGGAATCAAAGTGTTTGATCAGGAAATTGCTTACATTTTGTTTATTCGGTGTTGGTTTTTTCTCCTCAACGCTATTCGCAGTCTTTACCGCGTTATCGCCCAGTTCATTCTTCACTTTGGGGTCATTGATGACCGATAATTTGATGACACTCGACATCCAAAACGTTACAGATTCAAAAAGAGAACCGACGGCAGGACCATTTGACTCCGTACTTTGATTAGCCGCATTTTCGGAAGTTCGACCTTCTGTACCCAAGAATTTCACATTCTGAAGTGTAATCGTGTTTTCAATCGAATTAACTGCGACTACGACTCCTTCATACTTGTACCTCACGCTTGTTACGATGGAAACCGACGATCCGACGGGAATTTTGCTATAGTGAGGCACTTCCCCAGCTTCGTTCTCCATTGCGCAGTGGTTTCGGGAGAGAAAAAGTTGTTAAATGCCTTGGAATCCTTTGAAACACCCGCGAACGCCCAGCTAACGCAGATGATTAAGCACTCTGGCTGCTCTATGACAGGCGCGTTCATGCGAGCACAGTTCAAATATTCATCGACCGCAACTCACCGATCGATAAATCGAATGGTCGTGCGTGGCGAACTGCGCGTTTCGAGTGCTGATTCGGCGCATTTCACCGGTGTGCAAACAAAATTATTTTTACTTCAGGTTAAACTAAAATTCACTGCCTAAATTTAATCGGAAAAATTATAACTTATCGGCGGCATTGTCCGAAATAAAAGTGGACTCAACTGTAGTTACTTTATTGAGGGTGGTATGAGGAAATGTTACAATCGCTAAATATCAAAGCTAAATTTTGCATGGACACTCAGCAGGAACAGAATTTATGTCTCTGAGCATAATGTCGTTACTGCAAAATGTCACTGCGTTGAAATTTATGCAATGGCAAATTAGCAAAGTAAGCACCGTAAGAAAACTTAGACCCCCACGATCTGCCACCAACTAGAAATGCCTGCGTCTAAACAACCGGGCAACTTATAACCAGGTGACGTCTTTTAAAATTACAACTTCCTTAGAGATGCGTGGTTGCACATTGATCTACTCAAATTTGTCGCTTAGAATCAATTGCGGAAAACAGGCAGTAACAGCCATCGTATGCTATTCAAAGCGAAGTGAAATCTCATCTTTGTGTCGGTTCCATGACAACAAAGCTACAGCAAGAAGTGATGGCGATTACGACCTCGTTTCTACCACTTTAGGTTAGAACGATAGGTATATGACCAACACTGAGGCCTAAGGCAGGATTGCGCCACGTACATGAAACCAGACACAATTAGACTCCTGAAGGAAGGAAGTAAAGCGACTCCTTTGAATGTACATGAGCATTTTTTTGCAAGTAATATACACGATAGGCAGAAGGACAACTTGTTATGACTGAGTAACAAAAATATGTCCAATCATTGCATCATATAGATCAAGTGCCCTGGAACAGAGTTGTTCGGCGCCCTCTCCTGACAGCGTAGTCAGCGAAAGCAGTTTAGACGAGGAAATTGATATCGGAGCTGCAGGGGTATGGCGTGGTCGACCGGAGTAGGCCGCAAAGACAAGCGGGCCTCGAGGGGCAATCTGAACATCCACGGCGTTTCCACGCTTGGCTTTTTTGGCTATACTCGGGTGCGATATGTCGATTGCCAGGGTTATGGCTGAATTGAAATACACAAATCGGTGTTGAAAAAGTAAATTTTTGATTGCCATAAACCAAGTGCACATATCTACACCGACCCGTTGGGTTAAATATGAGGTTCTTACTCCACAAAATGACGTGTCAAGGGGTCAGTTTTGCAGGGGTAGTAAAATGCCAGCAATCAATAAATTACCAACAAAAGTTATGAGCACAACAGAAATAACTGAATAGCAGGGACGTACGCCGGGAATCAGCGTCCACCTCGGATGTGCATACGGCCACAACTGACGCCTTCAATGGAATTGACGTTTGCAAAAGCGCCAGGGCAAGTGCATTTATGCAGGCTGCCATGGTCATTGGATGACCAGGAGGACCCGATACAAGTTGAATTCGAATATTAAACTGAAAAAGAAATAAGAACAGGCACATTACGAGAGAAAAAACCATTTGCCTAAAACTGTTTTAGCGATATAGAAGCTTGTCACATTATGAAATTCGCCGTTCAGATGGAAATGATGAAACGGAGTGGAATTATTAAAAGCAGCCGAAGGAGCAAAATTTACCTACAGAAAATCGCCCACTAGATAATTCGGTATCCAGCTAGGTCCATATAAGACGCAATATTATAATCCATCGAGTTTTTTTACATGCAAAATCCCTTTTTTAAGCGATATTGAGGGTTTAAAACATGACAATTTGGTAGAAGGCGAAGAAGCACAAAGAATAAATCAAGTTAAAGTGGAACGCAATATCTTATGCTTTAGATTAAAATGATTAACAGATGTCTAGTGATTTCGTGAAGGTGAGAAGGATAATATCGACCAAATATAACAATTTGGGACGAACTTGACATCGCGGGTAGTCCTTCACATCTATCAGTCTCTCAAGGTACTGTAAGAGATAGAATTCCATATCACTTTCCAGCATTGTATGCACGCCTGAAACAGGAAGGACGGAGACATCAAGGAACGCACGATGCGTTAATTCGTTGGCCATACTAGCCTCTTTTGGGCCATAAATCGAAGCCAACACATGTGTGTTCCCAAAAGCCCATGTTGAAGATCCAGTTGCATTACAGTCACAATTTACGCTAATATACAAATTGGGCTTCTGCATTCGCACTTTAAGAGACCTTGAAAGTTGTGTAAGGCTCCCGACCAAGCGCAGAAAACGGTTTGACCTTGAAATATATGAAAAAATTAATCCGTTCTGAATGTGGCAAAATAGGGCCTGACAGACTGCCTGATGTTCTCTGATATTTAAAAATACGTATTGAAAGTAGTAAAAAAAATAAGCATAAATTTAAAAGGTGTGATAATTTTTTAGTTGCGTTAATTTTTTTGGAAAAAAAACCAGCAAAAGACGCTTGACAGCTCAGTTTGATTTTACGCCTTAAAAAAGCACTCTAGTTTATAAAAAAGGCATTATTGGTATTTTGGCAACTTTAAGTCTGACCGATAATGTGAACATAATTTGGCAGTGCAGCAGAATTTTACTTAACTGAGACAGATTAACTGTCCTAATAAATGATGATGTGCATTAAGAATGTAGCCTTCTTGTAATATATAATTTTAGTAAAAATGTTAAGAGTTGTATAGGCATGTGTGATATATTTTGACTGTGTCATAGAATTTTTTTCGGAGATATGGGTTTTGTGACTCGTTTTGATTTATGTCCATTTACCCTGTCATTTCATTAGATGACACATGTTTAATTATTACGTTGAGAAGTTACTATGATTATACTGATCTGTATGTACAACTGTGGCCCGTGAACCAAGTTAGCGTACATGTGCTAAATCTACTCAGAAGCCCCTGAGCGCTACTAGACCACAGGCCGAAGCCTTCAACAATGGGAATTTACTTAATAATGCCAGTAGGTTTGTCATTAAAGAAAACAGAAATTGGTGTGTTAATAAAGGAATGCAAGAGAATAGCAGCTGGTTAAGTGACAGATCCGAAATATCTAAACGTTTTAATTTCAATAAAATGATCAGTTCCTCAAATTACATCCAAGAAATTATATGCAATACAATTCTTCAAACAAATTTGAAACTTACTTTAATTGTGATCAAAGTATCTGCATTTCTTCCAGACAAATACAATATACATTAAAGAATTGGACTTTATGTTGGTATTATCAAAGGAAACCAGTTCGCATCTCGACTGATCATCAATTTGAAAGAAAATCGGAATAACAGATTTACATTTTTTGAATATGGATTAATGCCCATGATTAAACAGCATGTCAAATTTATGTTCCCTTTGTACTTTTAGCAGAACACATTGCTGGGAAATGCGTTAGGCGTTGCATAAAGTGAATGTTTCACTTAACATTGGCAGAACTGTGACTACTAAAAAAGAGTTCTAGCTTTATTATGAATGATGAAAATGAAGAGTAAGAGTTACATTTGAATAGTCATCAAGAACAAGTCAACTTAAGCGTCCTTTCTGGCGTCATTTTGAATATTTGTTTTTGGCATGTTTTTCGCTGGGCAATCTAGGAAGCAGGAATCGCGGGACCCACATTGTATTCATCAGAAAGTTCTCTTAGACGCTCAAAAGTCGGGCGTAATTTCTTTAAATAGTCGTGGTCTTTCCTATGGTATGTCATCATAGGTGAAATTCTACGCTTTACCCTGTTTTTAAGATGCGGGGTAATTTTAATGTCTTTTTTACCTTTTAAGCATTTGTGGGAGAATGTTTCTTAAAGTGTAAATGCGCGCCCCTGACTCCTATGATTACTTCAAAATTTGCGGTCATTATCCTGTTTTAACTTTGGATATTCATATTCGAAAAACCCGATTCGTCTGTCCTTAGTATTAATCCTGCAACAAAGCGTATCTCTATACATTCAAGTTTAATCAATGAACCGAATTTTTAACTACTTTGTTGTAGTCTACTACGCCTACACTATTTTAGAAGCCTAGTTACATTTCTTAAATAAATTCCGAATAAAATGTTATTTGACTTTTTTTCAGTTCCACCCGTTGTTTGGACTCTAAATCGTCCCTTGCCTCCTAAGGAAAATGCCGTTAGCTTTGAATCCGCCGGTGACGACACGAGATGGTGGGAAATGGAGCCAATCCAGCGCCTGAATTTGTCGGCGAACACCATAAAAGAACTGCCCGGGCCGGGACTCGCACAGCTGGACACTTTGGTCAGCCTTGACGTAAGTTGGTAAACGTTTCGCTCCCCTCTTCATCACTTCAACTTATCCTTTTTTTCCAAACTATACATTACGATAGTATAGACTGGTTTTTATTGAAGCTATCAATGTAGAAACCAATGACAGCTGTAATATCACTGCTTTTAACGGATCCATGCAAATGTCGGGTGGCATCTATTTGTCACGACTTCTCACTCTCACTATGCAATGTAGAGCTGGGCTGTCGCATTTCGTTTAGAAAAGTTTTTTTTTCATTTGCAAGCATTGTGTAACGTAGCCGTAGGTTCCTAATAATCTTACGCCATCCTGTGCATTTCTTCCTGGTCTGGCCGTGATTCTCTGCTCACTTTTTAATGGCTTTGAATCACCCTAAATAGTCATATAGAATGCTCTTTTTTAAGCAATATATATCCACCAGTTTAATATCTTTTGTATCTTATTAAACGTTTGAAGCAGTGACCCGTCTTGGTAGAGGCAATGGATTAGCATTAATTCTCAATGTAATAGCTGCCAGATCTACTTTGTCCAAATTCTAGTAGCTTAAAAGTTAACAGATGATCCCGCCATTAAAATCTCGCAATTTCTTCCCGCCAAATTGTCTTCTTAACTACTTTTTTTCTGCTACTTAGGTCCGTGATAATGAATTGACTACCCTACCCGAGGAAATCGCTCTCCTCACACAGCTAAAGCAACTTTTTTTGAGGTAAGTCTGTGAATTTTATGAAAGTGGGCCAAAGATAGAGCGCAAAACACGTCTTGTTTTCGTCACCTCTGTCCACTTTGCCTTCACTAAGCTCCAACAAACTCACGTGTCTGCCAGGCGCTCTGTCGCAGCTGCACGGCCTTGTTTTGCTGGATGCTGCGCACAATCTGCTCACGGAACTACCCTCAGGCCTAGAGGCTCTTGTGGACCTGGAAAAACTTGTAAGATTTTTTTAATTTTGCGTTGTGTTTAGGGCGTGAAATCGCACTTTGTTCAGTTGGCTGCTGGACCCGAATTTGTGCCATTGTTTAATGTCTTCTCTGGGTTACGTACAGGATAGAAGTTTGTCCTACACTTTAAAACTACCACAACTTTAGTCACCAATTCAGATGTATTCGTATCGGTCTAATGGGCTAATGAGCAGTCAGCTCGTCTAAATATTGAAAATCGCTTGTCCCCTGTTGATCAGATGTTACCAATTCAGGTGTATTCATATCGGTCTAATGGGCCAATGAGCAGTCAGTTCGTCTAAATATTGAAATTCGCTCGTCCCCCATTGGTCAGATGTTATGGTCCAATCAATTGTCTTGACATTGTGTTTTTGTCTGCAGGTTTGATTTCCAATTCCTATGTTTTTTATTTTCATCGCTTAATCATCTCACGCATTGCAGGATGTATCGGATAATCGACTGGCCCAGCTTCCACTACTCCTGCCGCCAAAATTGATCTCGTTAAAAGTCAATCAGAATCGATTGGTCCGACTCCCCGAAGGTCTCCTTCAGTCGTGTCAAAGTGAGCGCCAACGTGTGTTTCGCTTCATCGCACACGAATAAAACGCGTGCATTCACGTAAAACCTGTCGCCCCATTAGTTAATAAATCTGGTTCGTTCTACTAACTACAGGTCAGTAGTGGCGTCTGCCGCTCTGACTTCTGTGTTCATCCGACCGACTGTTTTGCACTGAAATAACCACCTCCGTAACAGTCCAGTCGTATGAGAGTTGACCTTTGAAATATCTCGCACCACTACACAAACTAATCCCGCAGTTCTAATCGTGTGGTGAATGCGTGTGGTTCGCGAGGCCTGTTTGAACAGGTTTACGTGTAGCTAATTTGTTCCTGTTGACCGTCTTTCGCTCTCATTGGTCACTGCTCACCACGCACCCTATGTGCACACACACACACACGCAATAACTAACTGTCTTTCCTTGTCGTTTGTCTTTACGCCAGGCTTACGCGAACTTGATGCCTCGGAAAATGTGTTGGAAAACGTGGGGATCAGCGGCGGTGGAAACCAGTCATCTCTCACAACAATCTGCCTTTGCAAGAACCGACTCACGGCAATACCGGCGCTCTCACCCTTCCACAAACTGAAGGTGATTTGGTTTTTTTATAAATCCCCAAATCTGATTGGTGCCTTCCCTGCATTTTGATGGGCTGCATATTCAAACTCCCAAATTTGATTGGTGCTTCCCCTAATTTTGATTGGCTGCATTTATGAACTCCCTAATCTGGTTGGTGTCTTCCCTTAATTTTGATTGGTTACATTCCTCAACTCCTTTTTTGTATCCAGGAAGTTGCCTTAGGCGATAATAAGATAGACGAGTTCAGTCTGGTCAACCTGGCAGGTCTGGGTGAACTCGCGATCCTTGATCTGAGTCGAAATCGCATCCCCGCGATACCTCTAGGCATTCCAGAATCGCTGCCTGCCCTTTCGCGTCTCGATCTGTCCAACAATGATCTCAAGAGGTGCGTCGTAGTGCTCTGCAGCTATTGGATGAAATTTGCCTGCACTTCATTGGCCTGTGTAGCAATTTGTGGTTCTTTGCTTTCAGCATTCCAACTGAACTCGGCTTCATGGAGTCGTTGAATGTGCTGTCGTTGTGCGGCAACCCTTTCCGCTCGGTGCCACAGAATGTGCTATCGGTAGGTCTTGACTCAAAGCGCGGTTCACCAATCCAACCACCACTTTTTGTCCATTTTTAGTCGGGCACTCAGGCGTTGAAAGCTCTCCTGCGTGATCGTCACCAGGCCGACACTGCGCCGCCTCCCCCCGCCTTCTCACGCTCCCCCACTGGCAGTCCTGACGTTCCCGCCACTGCAGACGATCCATCCACCCTGAATTACGCCGACCTGCCTGCCGTAAACACTTCCTCCATTCTCGACTGGAGCTGCTCCAGGAACCTCGGTGCAAAGCGAATTGGGCACGTGGCGGCGAATCTGAGAGAGGAACTGCCGCCATTGGATGACCCGGTGGTGTGGCGAGCCGTCGCGTTAAGAGGCTGCGGTAGTAATGCCGTGGTGAAGACGCTCAACTTGCTCTGGCGCCAACTCGACACCTTCCCGATGGGGTGAGGCCTTCGTTCTTGCTACTTACAAACGCGTAGTAGTTCGTTATTTTCGATTTATTTTTTCGCCTTTAGGATAATGGCATTTCGAGAGAGCCTGACTAGCCTCAATCTCTCCCACAACCGTTTAACTCACCTCCCCGATGAAATTGGTCGGCTTTCCAGGTTGGAAGAACTCAATGTAAGGTGGGTTTCACCGCAGTAACCCATCCTGCCAAATCCCGTGGTCGCGTGTTCTAGACGTACGCAATTTGCCCTTTTTTAGCAACAATTGCCTGAATTCCCTACCACAGACCCTCACTGCCCTCGCGGCCCTTCAAACTCTCGTGCTGGACTTCAACGCAGGTCTTGGACCTCAGCTACCAGCAGAGACACTGTTCAGGGCGCCGCTGACGCAGTCTTTGGTCAATCTCTCGGCACGAAGCTGCCGACTGACGCAGCTTCCACCGGCGTCCATGCTTTCGCCTGAATCCATGCCTGCTCTGCGTTCTCTCGACGTCTCAGAGAACGACATTTCTACGCTAGAGCCCAGGCTCGGTTTGTGCACGCAAATCCAGTGAGTCCTTCTTAGTGTGTGTACTGAATTAATTTAAGTAGTTACGGTGTTTTATAGAGTGGTTTAATCGATTTCACCTAACTGGGCAGTAGGCGGTTTTGCTTCTTTGTGGATATTTTCTTAAAAACTGCTGAATTGATCAGGTTTAATGATCAAATCGACGGTAATTCACTGAGTACTCTACCTAGAGCCTCCTAAAGTACGGATCTGGTGAGTTCTTTTGAGCTGAAGTAGCATCAGTCACATCAAAGCAGGAGTCGTGTGTTAGCGAGCCGGAATGGCAAATTTGGCACCAATGCGGTTAAACACGTGCACTGGCACACCCACCTCCCCTCCCCCACTGCACTGAGTGGAATGCCGGAGGCTGCGTCAAGATCTTGACTTCAATCTTGCCAGTCGTGAAAATGTGGGGCTATCTACAGCACTCCTCCCGCTTCAACCAATGACTGCGTGGATCCAACTGTAGCGCGATTCACTGCTGCTAATGTTTGACGTCATTCGGCACACCTACCGCTTGAATGCGTTTGAAGTGGGTTGTTGGAATTTACGTCAAGACCGTTTCGCCAACGTCGTTTCATGCAGGTGTTCTAGTTTGAAATTGGTTCAAGATTTGTAGGCGTGACGCCTTCTGCAATTGTGGCGGTGAGCTCCGAATTTGGTAAATGGGAGTGTCCTGGTGTGATCTCATCCGTGAGGCGTGTTTTCGGCAATCTACGGTACTGAATCTTTATCGATTTCTTCGACAGACGCCATCTTGGAGCAGGTTTGCAGAGTTTTTGAAATGAACCAGTCAACCAATAAGCTTGGTCCAATTACAGTGGAATCGTCCTCCCGTCCAATCACATCGCTCTCTTCATCCTGTTCTTACCTGCACTCTGAGCAGCCCCTATCGCGACGCCTTCTGCCATCGCACAGTCAACCGCCATCCGGAAAACAGGGCAGATTCCCACAATCGCCGATGCGTGTGTGTGTGTTGCGAAATCGTTTTTTTTTCGTGAGAACAGTACGCGTCTGCGTCTGGCACCCGTTCACCCCACCTTATGTGCGTTGGTGCGTTGCAATGCGCAGATTTGGTCGGCAGAGCGACTACCGTCCACTCACACAAAACCCGATAATCACTGAGGTTCGGTTGAGGGCGGACAGGTTCTATGGGTTGCTATGGCTTGTCGCAGCTGTTAGGGACGCCACACTAAAGTGCCTGGTGATTGGTCGATTCGGTGCTCAACAGGCTGGCGCCTGATTGGTGCATTCTTCACCCCAAGCTAGACATAATCTATTCATTCACCCCGAGGTCCTTAATTAACACTCTTAGTGGTGTCAATAGTGTGATAAGTGGTAGACCAGTTGTGGGTAAATTTGTCGACTTGGAAGATAGGTTACTAGCTTCCTAGAACTGATATTTCATCAACACCAAGGGGATGTTTGTTGAGATGATGGTGAGATGCTGGAAATGGACGTGGTCTTGTTAGAAGTAGCTTCGCCCGATACCACACTCTCTCCTCGACTTCAACCAACCTCGTTCTGTTCCACAGAATGCATCCGCGATAACAGCGATCAATTGGTCCCTAACTATGGGCGACTTCGGTCCTTTTTCGTGAATTCCTTTTCTAGCTGACTGCTTCTTTAGTTGTAAACGCACAGAGGCACACACTTCCTTGTGGACGTTTTCTTCTCTTAACCATTAGAAACCTCCAGGTGATGGGCAACACCTTCAGGGTCCCACGACCAGCCGTGGTGGCGAAGGGCACCGCGGCCCTCATGGAGTATCTTCGCTCCAGAATCGCCGAATAACGTGATCACGCCCAGGCAACCGCTTTCTACCCACCAAAAAAACCGTCCAGTGTTCTTTCTACGCCTCTCACACCTTCAAAATGGACTTATCGAGGTGGCCTAGTGCTCAAATCAAGTCGACAACTAAATATTATCGCATTTTTGGCTACAAAAGTCTACGTTTTCGTGTACACTTGATCTGTGGGGATAGGGGGGTGTGCTTTAGAATGATCGAGCGTAAAATCGATGGAGGTCTCTTAACAAACTCACCGGGTAGATTCAGCTTCACTTAAACTTGACTTGTTTTTATTTCAACTGACGCCAATTTATTGGCCAAACAGCCGCATTTTGTTGCTAAATCCAGCTCGTGCATTTAAAATTAGGAAAAAGGCAGGGTTGTCGTGTGCAGATTTGGCGCCACGTGGAGGAAAGTCGATTGCATGGAGGGTGTGCGGTGGCAGTAATGAGTGAGACGAAAGCGAAACGAGTGCGTCGGCGACTTTACAAACGTTCATTTTTGAAAGACGGCAATCGTAGTAGAAGTTGATGTTAGTGGCCAGCAGTGCGCTTCCCTACAGAAACGGATTTGTGGCTGACATCGCCATGCCATTGACGGTGGCTGAGATAGGAAAACTCGACCTTTGTGATTGGCTGATTGCTGATTGGTTGGCGGCCAGTGGGCTCCATTGCTTCTCGTAGTCAATTGGTTGTTGGTAGGAAGCTGGTCTTGTTTGATTGGTCGGCGGCAAAAGTTGTTGCTGGTAGGCCAAGGGCATCGAAACCGGCGTTGGAGGTAGAGTTGCCGTCTAGATGGGTTTTAAAACAAAGTTTTTCATTTGTATTTGCTTATAAAACTGCCTTCAAACTAATTCAGTGGGGTTAGTGCACCAGTGAGAATAACCACACGGAAACAAGTTACACTTACAGTTCTTCGGTCAAAAACAGGCTCTGTTCTCGCCGCAAGTTCTAGGAGAGATGGCTTCGGTAGGTCTTGAGTCGCCATTCCGTTGCCAACAAGGCTTGTTGCTGGTGGTGGCGCTGAAACGTGCCGATGAGATATTAAAGAGCACCTCTTTACCCCTGTTTAACTCAGGAACACCATCACAAATGACGATAGCATTAATTTTGAGTATTTCAACGTATCATCGATGAGGCGATTAGCACTTGTGATTTGCCTTGTTCAAATCCACGAAAAACTCCTCAATCTTCCGCGCCAGTCATCTGCGTACCACCGACGCCATCATGTTATTTTCAGGGCAAACACTGGTCTGAAAATTAGTCAATTTTTAAAAGTAGGCGATTCTCAAATTTGTCTTGGTGCCTTCTGACAAAACCCACAATGTGTGATCTAGCAATATCTAGACGAAGTCTAGTGCGCCAAGCCTCGTGTGCGAATCAAAGTTCAAGTATACCTTGAGTAGTACACTTAATTGTGCTTAGTGCTCCGTGAAAAGTAATTATCGATTCTGTGGGTGCTGAAATGTGAATTGAAGTAGCCTGAGTGGTAGTCTTGGCGGACGCCGATCAGGCCTGTGATTGGTTGATTTCTCGACGTCTCACAGCCAAACAGCGGGCAAATAAATGCTGCTTTTGTTCACGTGCTAAAGGGGAATAAAATTGCGCGCGAAGCGATTACCATATAAAACTCGGAGGCACCTCGAGTTCATGGCGTCAATCAACGCAAAATAGCACGTGACCTTGTTGTGCAAGGTAGACTGGCCAATGTGCTTTGTCATTCAAACGTAAAAGCGGAAGAAAGCGTAAGTGTTGACCTGGAAACGACTTTAGATTGGGATTTAGGAGTTTAAAGGACGCTGCCACTGGCTTTTTCTCACACTTGCACTTTCCTCAATTAAGCCAAACAGCGCATCTTGTGATGTCATGTGCCACCAAGTCAGTAAAACAACATGTGCTCCGACAATTTACGCCGAGTCATAATGCTGACGTCATTCCAAAAGCCTACCCAGTGTTTGATTAATTCTTGGAGCATTTTATGGAGGTCTCAGACGCCATCGTTGTTTTTAAGGGTAAATTTCAACAACAGGTCTCATTCTCAATCGATTTCAGAGAGCCGTTTGCTACTAGACGAATTTGTTCCGAAATACGAAACGAGTGTTTGAATGCACTACTGGCAAATCGCCGGCAATCGAAATAGCACCGCGCGATTCCAATTTGCATGCTTTTGCATAAATCGCCTCCAACATTTGAAACAATCGCACTATACACTTGGACGGACTTGGAAGTAGAAGACATAACTCACGTGTCTGTAGACTGCAGATGTTGTCCAAGTCGACGAGATCCTTGTGGCCGTCAAGCATGCTGGAGATTTTCGATGTGGGCTTCGGTGTTGCGGTGGCGGTGATGGTCGAAGTGTTGCCAAGACTCGCGAAGAAATCGTCTGCTGACGTTTTGTGCAGTGGCATCAAAATCGCCCCCTTGCTTGATTCTGTAGTTGACGCAGAACTGGAATCCTCAAAGGCTCCAAAGCTGGCGATTTCGGAACCATTTGACGCTGGTGGCACGCTCAGTGGTCCTGGCAAGGCACGTGATAACGAGTTTCTTAGTCATTACTCTCTAATTTTTGCTCCATTTCTATCGGATTTTGAACCCTCTTTTTACAATTCAAACACTGACTCCAAAAAACTTTTCACCCAGTGCAAATCACCCCTAATCTACCAGGTCAAGGTCACTAGAGCATGTGTAATCGGCGCATTCTAACGTGTCTGCTTGAAAATTTTGGTGATTGAAAATTCTGATCCAAAATCGAGAACCATTCACGTCACCGTTTGATTGTATCATGTGGAGTAACTTGCGTCACAAGTGAGGCGTGAGTTTTCACGACGCAATGTCGTTAAAATGAAATCAAAAAATCACATTTAGTACAAAATTTACGACATTGTAGAGGGTCAAATTTGATCTCACACACAATGAGTGAGAAATGAGCGTATGTAAAGTCAAGGCCACACAATACTTCGCCGCCTACGTCATTCGGAGCATTCAATATTGAATCTTTGAATCAAATTACCAGTTTCTCATAAGGAAATGCCTTAGTTTTTACATTTGTAAACTTGGAAGGTCTCATAGAAACGCCCTAGGACATGAGCACTTGTAGATTGCACTAATGTGTGTAACTAAAGAAGCATATCCAAAGGAAGAGTGGCGTGATTTACAGCACCAAGAATTTCAGTTCATTGTGTAAGTGTTGAAAACACTGCGAGTTGGTTAAGCGGAGTGCTAAACGGACCTGCCTTATCCCACCAATCGGTTTGCTGATAAACATTCAGTTGCTGAGCATAGCATGCCCAAATTTGAGTGGGTGTTAGTTTTAAAGATTATAAACAAACCTTCTCGGCTTAGAAGAAAGGTGCACGATTTCCCCATCTGGTAAATTTCCAACTGTACTCAAAAATATGCTTAGTAAACTCGTTGTGGCACAGATTTTGTCAAACTATTTGCCCTGCTTGGGGCGTAGTCGCACCATAGACTGACAGTAAAATGCTGGACGATTGACAAGCGCATCAAGTTGCCGAAACACGTGAATTAAAATTACCGCCAGTGTTCGGCGGTGAACGCAAATTTATACCTACGATCTGCGTCAAGGGTCTTATTAAGGCGAAGGTTTGACGATTGTGGCCGCTTATTGGTAGTAAATTGAGTGCATCTCAGCCATCAAGGTCACTGAGTTAGAGCCTTAAGTTCTGCCCACGCATTAACATTTGCTCTAGTTTACGAATAAAAAAATCTTCCCTCAAGGCATATAGCCTTGAAAGATGATGAAACGGTAGGCAAATTATGTTTTGTCGTTTGTTTTTAAACCAGAACAGGGAGTCAAGCGATTGGCGGAGCCGAGGGAAGTATCAGGTAGACACGCGGCTACAGTGTGGTCATTGATGGTGCCCTGGAGGTAGAATCCTGTCACTAAATGAAATAATTGCCTCCTTCCAAAATCGCACAAATACACGCGATGAAAACCCACTTAATTGGGAAGGTCCCGCAATTATTTGAGCGGTATTCATTAAAACAAAAGCAGTCTTTAACCTACCAAAATCGAGTCCACTCAGATCTGCTAAAACGCTGGGATTGGAGACAGCAGGAAGAGTTGTTGTCGTCCTTCGCACTGCCTGCGGATTCCATTTGTCGTTGTATGTTTGACCGTTTTCTTGAAGTGAAAACAGGAAGGCAAATGTTTCAATGTTCTCTAGTGAACGGATTGACCAGGTTTCAAGTTCGCCTGCTCTATCTTGAACAATTTGGGTGCTTTTTGGCAGGAGTTTGCTCAACTCGATTGTGTTAGTTTATTTGAGCACATGACAGTTCTCAAATTGGCTTCAAGTACTTTTTAGAAATTTGTTTTATTGAATCGACAGGCTGTTGGTCTCACATAGGCGGCAGCGACGCCCACTGCAACACCGCTTGCGTTAATCAGCTTCATTGTATCGTTGATCAAACAAGTACAGTGCAGGAGGTTTTGGCACAAGTAATTTACGCATTACCGTCTCGTTCTGTAAAGAAATGTGAACTAAACACCTGATACTTTAACTAGGACAATCTAGGGCGACATTAAGAGCTCATGAAACAATCCGATTATAAAAGGTGACATTACTAAACATGAAAACTAATGCTACAATTTACAAGCTTATTTTACCTAGCCTGGTTTAAAATACTTAGCAACTAGGTTTATCATTCGATGCAAGCACCTCTGTCTTACTACTGAAACACTAATTTCACTACTTTTATATGCTATTGGCAATTTGAGTCAAAATTTTACCTCTACAAAGAAGCATGACATTGGCTGACCCTCTTACCCATTAGACTTGATAACGGCATCATGTGGTTGGATCCAGACACGCTAGATAACCGTTTGGCTCTCGTGTCAATCCATGAATTCATGTCTTCTGTTTTATTTGGTGTGTCATCAAGGCAAAGGAGATCTTCATTTTTTTCCTAAAATGAGAATCGAAACGACTTGCCAGACTAAAAACATGAGGCGATAGATTCAATTGACCTGGTGTGTTTAGTTTTACTAGGTAGAAAAGGTTGTGACAATGCAGCCAACATGGCCATTCCTGGACAAAGACCATTCAATTATCGCGTTTAAGTGCGTGACAAGACACCACATTTCTATTTTCAGAGAAAGCACACAATGACTTGTTACGGTATGTTTAAAAAAAATAAAAAGAGGACAATTTTGAGTTCAGCGTAGTTCAATATTAATTTGCTCTAGGACACTACTTACGTTATTCAGCTGCCGGGAACGTTCAACTACCTCAGGCTTGGTCGCGCTTTTCGGGTAAGATTCTTGAAGACTAAGGCTCATGGCAAGCATTATTTGTTCCTGTTCTTCTATATCATTGCGAGCAACATATTCATCAGTAGGTTTATAAACTGATATTGATCGATGGGCATATTCGGCAGACTTGAGACCTCTTTCTGATGCCAAAGACAGGGCACGAACACGAGATAGGCTGTCTATAAATAACAAAGTGATTACCATAAATTACCATAAAGTGAGTTGCGGTATGGTCTCAAAAATGTCTTTTTTTCTTGAAATTTTATTTAAAGCTAGACGCAAACATAGAAGACGCTTGAATGTAGCCTTACTAACAGCTTCAAAGCGTGTAACTAAATAAGATGATCAACTAGTGAGAAATTTAAAACCAAACCAATGAAACTGAAGTAAAAAAGGAGGAACGTACATGGATACGTACATTTTGACCGCTCGTTCCTTGCAGCTTGGCGTTCTTGACTTAGAAGATTGTCATCTTTTAACAATGATGCCACACGTTTTGCTTTTTCCCGAACCAAGAAGCCAGCTTCTACGTTGTAGTCGTATGAATATTCAAAATCGCACAATGTCAAAATTTGGGGCAATTGAGACCGGCATTCTTTAACAAACTAAAGAAAACATTATGAATTCAATCAACCATTGAGTAAGCCTACACAATCTAATTCGAACATTTTCAAGCTATGCACAAACCCCACCATTGATTTTATTGGCATAAGTACAACAATTACATTGACAAAAAATGTATTCTTATTCTCTGTACACTTACAAAAAATGAATAAACTTTGGCTGCAAGAATAATTTATTAGTTATTGCATGCTAATTAAAAAGCTAGACACTTACTGCCATGCTTCCATACTGCAAACAAGCTTCAATGACTAAAAAAGATTTGTAGATATGTCTCCAGTTTTTGCATTTGTCATTTAACCTTTTCCAAATCATTTTGACGGTGTCCGAAAAACAGGAAGGTAATTTAGTCAGATCCGCAATCTGGATTAAAAGATCTTGACTTGGAGGTGCGGGATCATTTGAGGTTGCTTCTCTGACTAATAATTCGCCACGCGAATAATTCCCAACGGAATTCTTAATTCTTCGGCGTAGAGGCATTGGAACTTCGAAAATGAGGCTTGGTCAAGGTTGCAGCTTGTTTCTGCATTTAAATATTTAAACAAAGTGGTTTTTATATTACAGTTGCTGCATTTTATAAAAATATGGTAAATAAGTTTGCAATTATCATTTGCACATGACTTTTTTAAATTTCACATAACACTTTTTTTTTAAATTTATAAACTATTTTGCAAGTGTTTTTTTTCAAAAATCACTTTGTTTTTAGTCTCTGAATAATATTATTTAGTTTTTATCTAATAGTCCGAACTGTGTTGCTGAAATGCATTAGTACTTCAGATCTCAACCTCTTTCTCTGTCATTGCAAATTTAGGCATAGTACCTTAGATCCAGCTCTGACTGTGTTATTCCCGCTTTTTCATTCTCTGCTATCTAGCATCTTATATAATATTTTGCTGCGACAGTAAAGCTCTTGACAGTAGATCATTTCGTTGTCTGGCTGTAGGTAGGTGTGATTAAGGATCGACAAGAATGTTGGGGCAGTGTGTTTGTGCGAAGTGCCCCGTTGCAAGCCTTTCATTGCGAACTGGTGGTTTAAGTTTGCAGGTGACAAGTTGATAGAACAGCTTTCGAAGTTGTCAGTGTTTTTGTTGAAATTTTTCAAAGCAGTCAGTTGGCAGTTAGTTTAGTTTGAAAGCGTAGTAAGATTTGATTAATGCTATCACCATTGCGAAGCCTCTTGCATATCGAACACTCATTCCATGATGCTGCCATCAATGTCTTATATCCTTTGTCACAGTATTGTTAAGCTCTGTTGCAACGATCCATATAGCATTTCTTTCTTAATACCTAAGTGGGTTACTTCTCCCAGGACACTGTTGTGACACTTGGGTAATTTTTAATTAACAATTCCTTCTCGATTTCGGTGTTTTTACGTTTTTACGAACTGTGGATGTTAAAATTTTCAATTTATATCACTACTGAAAGACTAATTTAGATCTCTTGTTCTAAGTTGCGGCCTCCAATTTCTAGGCAAACAGTTGTCATATTGTGGCTACCCCGTCTTCTTGAGCGGACAGGAGACAAACTGCCGCAAAAGAGAAATTTGACTTTAGGGAAAAGTATAATGCAGTATTTTTTATACTGTTGTGTAGTAAATTCAAAGATAAACTTTCTGGGTCTAGATTTGTCCAAGTGTTTGGTTTTTCTCCATAAATCCAAACCGGGTTCATTTGACAAACCTCAGTCACCATAATATCAGGAATTTATCCAATATAGAGGAAGCCATCATAGCTCCCAACGAGCGACAACATCAAGCACTACACCTCAACTCACCAATTAAGATTGATGGCCAAAGTGTTCCCTCAACGCAGTCCTGCAGCATTTGCATTAGCGACACGAGTCCCCTTGCCTTGTAGCCTGATGCTTGATGTTCGGGGAACGCGTCATGGTGCACAAATCTCTTTACAAACAGGTCCTTCGCCGATATTATTCTGGGCATTTCCGTGTCTATAGGCCACATATGGACGAATAAATCGTATCCCTAGTCAAAGGCCACCCTCAATGTCAGCAGGCCGGCAGAAACCTCACTAGGGTTTCTAGAAACACCCTTGCATGGAGGTGACTTCGCGATTCAAGTTTGGACTTCCCATGTATGCTCAGGACTGCCGATCAAGACGTGGCCAATAGAACAAGAGAACGATCTCAATTATATTAATGAATCGGTTGTGAATCGTGTTCACGCACACCCCTTAATCCGGTTGCTCCACCTCCGACACAGGGTTCCCCTTTTTCACAGCATGGCGCCAGTCGCGCGGATCCTCAACTCCCCCCTCATTCACACGGATATTTGTCTTGGATTGTCCTCACACATCCGAGGTATAAATACACACACGCAAACCCTACACACGACCCAACGTGGTTGAGCTCTTAAGTAAACGGTTGTGCCCGCGTCCTCTCCGGTCTTGATCTTCACCGCGGGCGTCAGGCAGGCGTAATCGGGCCAAACAAATCCACCAATCAGCATTCAACACGATCAATGAATTCGCCTTTCATACGCAATATTTATTAATGTTTTGTTTTGCTGTCAAAATAACAAGCAGCCTTGTCGGCAAAACTGCAGACTAGTTAGTGCGTCAAAAACACCGCGACAGCATCAAACGAGGCCGTCGCGTCGTGCCCAAATCAACCTTTATTTACACCATCAAACAAAAAATGACAAGCAATACGCCGAGAGAAAGCAAAGCCAAGAAGGGGCTGGCGATTAGTGGAGTTCCAGGGAGTTGCTGCGCAGGGTCTGCAAGGTGGACACACTGGCTGACCGCGACAAACACGAGCCGGAGCAAGCGAAAGACGGTTTGAAGCGCAGGTAGGCGACGATGCCCGGCGGTAGACCGAGATTATCCAGCGCGGAGTCTGGAAAGTACTGAAATGCATTGAAAAGAGGCAATATCTCACAGGTACACGCACAACAAGACAAAAAACGGTCATCTGGTTGACTCGTGTGGACCCACCTGCCTGATCTTCTGGCGGACGATGGCTTGGAGGGTTGGTGGTGGGTCTAGTTGGTACACGAAAACCACCTCCTGGAGTTTGCGTGTACCGGGGCTGCAATTGCCGGAATCGATTACCGATGATCGCACGTGGCTGACTGGCTCGGCTTGATTCAAGTCGTACTCCATCAGCGACGTCTCCCAATCAATTCCGTGCTCGGTGTGATTAAATGGAATCTGCCGAAGGGTACAAACGCATCTGATTGGTCAAGGGGAGAGCAGGCAACAGAATTGCATCCAATGGTGTGCAGGTGTTACTCACGTGACTGCTGCCAGGTCGAGGGGACGGCACATTCAGCGTGCTAGTGCGCTTGCGTCTTGGAGTGCCGCCCCCAGCACACTCCAGAGAGACGTCCGCCAGACTGGTGGAAGTAACTCGCCTTCCGCCGCCACCTTTTCCCCCTCGTCGCTGTGCTGCGACACTGCGATCGCCGCCGACGGTTGCTAGGGCGACCAAGGCCATTCGGGAGCCGCATTTACTCATGACTGGAATGTAATTGGTGGGACAGGTATGCAGCGGACAGATGGGCCGGTCGAAGCGGATCACGCGGAGGGTGTCAAGTGTGTCGCCGTGGAAGACGGTGATGAAGAGACTGGTGCAGCCTGGCGGTGGTGATGCGTGGGAGTGACGAAGGCGCGAACCGGGCGATTCCACGGCCTCCGAGGCCTCTGCTACACCCCCGAAGCCCCAACCGCGCTGAAATAACGAGGCACGTGATTGGCTAACTTCCACCAACCAATTTCACGCTTTACGCTTGGCCATTACACAGTGAAAACAGCAGTTTTCAACAGACAATAGCAATTGTTGGTTGATTTCGATCGTATTGACCGGTTGCGCCGCAGGTTTTTATAGATGCCGAACCGCAAACACAGAAAAGGACATTTACTAAAAAAACATGTGTACTTTAATATAAATAAGTAGAAAGATTTATTGCTCACGTGTTCGGAGACGTCAGGGGCGCTTGTTGAGCCCGTGGCATCGGTCCCGCTGGGATGAAAGGGGCTGAAAAGGAGCCCCTGTGCGAGGGAATTGCAACGACACGACATCGTAGTGGCGACCACAGCGAAAATGAGGTGACCGGCACGAGAATAGAACACCTTGAGGATGTTTATTCCGGTTGCGGTGGCAGAATTAAACGCCCCGTCGCTGGTGCCGCGGCCACGAAGGTTGCCTGCGCCAACACTTCCTACTCGTGGTTCTTGAAAAACAGTTAAAATAGACACTACCTATATTATTTCAGTAAATAGTGCGTTCTTATTGTGCTTCCACGATTTTAAGTATTCACTATTTCGGTAACAAGCTGTCACATCGGGCAATCTAGTGCTAATTGTTCAAATGCACAGCCATGTGTTTACGCTGTAACGTCATGGCAGTGGAATAATTTTTAAAAAAATACGCTACGTACTAATGACCTTGTGGGCGTTAGCTGATTGGACGTGGGATGAACAACCAATAAAGTCTGAACGCAAACACTGCTAACACCAATTTCAGGAGAAGAAGAAGAAGAAAAAGTTAGATTTACTGTTACCGCGCGCGATTACCCGGAGTTTCGCCGAAATTGCGTGTCTTCGCGATCCTCTGCCAGGAGGGGAGACGCACAAGGCACAGGATTGGCTCTTGCCCCTCAAAGAAACCCTCCACGAGGGAGTAGCGACGGAGCGTGGGACAGTCTGGCCTCTGCGGCTCCACGAAATGCACGTTGGCCAGGGCGATGCGCGAATTCTCGAAGCGCGGATCGAAATCGAAGAGAATCGAGGCGGGCTGGTTGTAGCCGCCGAAGGCTCGCACACGAACCTCCGCCTCCTCCTCCTCCACCTCGTTTGGAGCGGGCCTGCGCGCTGATTGGCTACTCCTCGTCTGATTCTCAAGGTCATCGGGTGTGGTCCAGCCCAGTGTCAAAAACGGATGCACGAAGGGAAGACGGAGGGACGGTGGTTGCGGTTGCGGTGGTGGCGGCGGCGGCGGCGGGACAGGTCGGAAACGAATGTTGTCCGTGGTTAGCGGAAGCTCGGTAACCAACTCCTTGGTACGCAGATTGTAGAGCTTGAATTGAAAATCAAATTAGCCAAGGACTGAACTGATCAGCTGTTTGTCAAGGTCAAAACTTCGCCCAGCCATTGAAATTACTCACGGCATTTAATTCCCTGCAAGTACATCCAGTCTTGAAGGATCGACCCTAAACTTAAAGCAGTCACGAATTACAAGCACATGTATTGATCGATATTACTTCTAAAATGGGCTTTACAGCGGTCTCTCTAACCGAGACCGAAGTCCTGGTAGTCCAGAGTGCTTTTTTCCTAGCAGGCATGAAGTTGGTTTTAGTGACTTTTTACAAAATAATTGGACTCTGAACCCTCCAATCAGCGCTAAAGAAAAACGGAGTGCTAAGACGCCGCCAACCCGCCAATCACCTCTCACGGCCCACTTAAGTTTCTTTCGCCCGCATGCGCGTCTTGGTGAGTCATCGCTGTGAGCGTTTGCAACCTCCTGAGCCTTCGTTTGGGCCGTCTTAGCCTTCACTGACACACACAAGCCAATAAAAACACCAGCAGCACTGTCCAATCAACGAGAGAGTTACCTTCGTCAGTGTCACAATTTCGGAAAATTGACTGGCTCCACACGAATACCAAGCCAGTTTGATGCGCTGGACTGCGTCGCCTCGACACTGCACTGCAGTGGCTATTTTTGCCTTGGGGAACACGTGCAAGTGCCAGCGTACGACGCCACAATGTCTCATGTCGTTTTGCAGAGCTTGTTTTTAAGCCGACTGCACTGACTACACAATGCGGTTTGAATGCACAAGGCGTCTATTTGTGCAACGCGGTTTGCTGTGCCTCCACGTCATGGAGTAGGATTCGGGTGATTTGGGCAGATTTTAGAGCATCTAGCTGTTCGTGTACGCGGGGAACCACAATCTACTGCTTCGATTCATGAACGAGAATGCTTCATCCAAAATTCAGTGCGAGGATCAGCTACTAAGGGTCAGTCCAAGGTCACGAATGAACCACCTCGGCTACTTGCAGCGAAGTCATACTAAACCCCTAGCAGTGACCTAGACCGACTTGACCTCACGCTGACCTTGAGACAGAGACTCGGAGTACACGACCTTACTTCGGCAGTCACAGCCCAAATGAACTGTGTTGAGCTGAACTGCCTTTCACCAATACATCGATCGGCATTGCAAATTCAAGGTCAAATTCGATCCCTGCAGGTGAAAACGCCAATTCAGTGCAAATTTGGCTGGCAAATTTTCACTGATCAGGTCGAGTGGATTAAACTGGAAGCACACTGCCAAGTTGAGGGGGGCAGGCAATAACCATTAGGCGGCGTAAAGGGGGGAGGCGGGGGCAGGAGGAGGAGGAGGAGGAGATGCACAGGCGGCTGAAAGTTAATGGTGCTAACCATAAACGGCAAATCACGCTTTTTTGTTTTAATGCTGATCGCGGCACGTCGGCGCGTTTGCATGATGTCAGATTGTGGCGAGCGTTTGACTGCGCGAATTGAAAAGTTAAACCGCCTGGAATTTTACAGGCTGCAAATTTTTCACGCAAAAACAAAGACAAGCGCTGCAGCGAGGGCTGCTGGCACAACGGAACCAACAATTAAAGCACAGATCTTACTGATATCACGGGAGCTATGAGCTACAAGCAACGTTGCCAAGACTACGCAAAGTAAGCATAAGCATTTTTCTGAGGCTGGGTTATACACAGCAGAATTAAACGTGCGGATGAATTGCGGATTTTACAAGTTTTCGCCACAAAAATTTTACGCACACACGCTCCACTGATTTTGACAAGTAAACAAATCCAGCGCTGGTGTGGAAGAACCTCCAGGGCATGGCTAGTGTTATGACGAGGGGAGATTGCATAATGTCTCAATCCGTTTGTTTATGTAGTAAAGATCGATATGATAGTTTAAAAATGGCGCGAAAGTAACCAACGTGGATTATGCCTATCTGGCCAATCAGATTGCGTTTCAAACAGCAACTTGATTGGTCACCGACAAGGGTATCTCGAAAAGGCAGTTTTGGTGGCTGAAAAATTGTAATTCAAACCGACTAACACATTGGTTAAATCGACGACACGCGAGTGTCGTTTCGGGGTCCTGCCAAATTTTATGCCTAGAACACGCGAGCTATCACGGGCAAAGTCGCAGAGAAAAAAAAGACAGTTTGCAGCCTCGATTGAAAAAAGCACAGAGCGTCAGGTTCCGGAGAGGCAGCTTTGATCCTTACGAGACAGACGGCCTCAAATATCGCATTTCATTGAGATTAGGGAAGACTCAAACGAGATTGTAGCAATTGACCCGTGAAGTAAGCGGTGAATTTCGGAGGGACTCAGCAACAATCAATCACAAACAAATAATCGGCGCTAATCTTTATTCTACGGTTTGTGGCGCAAAAGATCAAAAGCTGACAGCCATTAATCTGCCCTCACTTTAGCAATGTAACACGAAGTAACCTGAGATAAGCGAAAAAACCCATTCACTTCATGCTATGTAACATCTAAAGCAAGTCTCAGTTATCAGCCTTTGTTGAAACACGAAACAAGAATTTGATCATCAATCGTTTTGCCATCAGCCGAGATTTATAAAAGGATTGGTTTGTAGGCAGTTTTTAGACCGATAAAATATCTTGTTACGCGTAAGTTGAAATCGTGGAAGGACTGGCATCAATAATTAGTTACTTGTTACATACTAGCAGAAAGGTGCAAAGACACTAGGATATCACACTAGACGAACAGAAAGCTGTTGTCATATGACGTATCTGACGGGAATGCCACCAAAAATTTGATGTCACAGAAATGCCTTGCCGAAAGATTCAAGTTTTTATGTCTTTTTTAAAACGACCATAAATATAAAATATCAAATACGCTTGACACTAACCTGTAAAGTTGTAATGCGATTTGTCCTTGACCACGGTAGACGAACCAGGCATAAGGAACCATCGGGAGATATTTGCGCAGCAACTGAGTCTGTAGAATACTTCACAGTTTGCCGACCAAATGTGCCAAGAAATTTATGAATATGAAGGTCGACTATCCCAAACTGTGTAATTAGGTTACGCGCTAAATGAACAATAGCCAGGCCGTCGTGAGTACACAAAATTGACTTAAAATGAAGATTCTAGGATATGCAAATATAAATTTTCGCCAGCATACTTGAACCGAAGATAAATGTGCTGGGATGTGATTATACTCAAAGTGTTCTGCAAGTTTGGATTGCTTCCTGTGTTTGTGAAATGAGAAGGGTCCCCGTCGTTTACTTAAATTAATGATGTTTTGCTTGCTAAGACAGAAAGAAACCGTGCATTCTGACGGCCTATTATAGGGACATTCCATTGTGTCCTCGTAAAAATTAAACAAAGCTACAGAGGTCGATTAATGTTCGAAAGCCTACCTCTGTATTTTCGTTTCCATTCATCTAGGGTACTCGTGTGAATGAGAACCCACTGACCTCCTTTCACATGCGAACACGAATGCAAATATTGATCAGCGTATCTATGTGCTACAGCAAGTTTGCTTTCTTCTACACCCATTGACAAACTGAGATAACCAGTTTAGCATAGAAAAAAACAGAAGGGAATGCCGATCGACACCCATTCAAATGTAATCACCAATTATTCGCAAAGAAAAGTGATTCGTTTAAATAAATTTCGTAATTGCATGTACTCAACAAAACTTAAACGTATCAGCAAAATCTCATTTAGCGGTAATTATTGTTAAAATATGAACCAAAATGCATGGGTGAGGTGGCATGTACCAAGAAGTTCGTTAATGCTGCATTGTTAATGATTTTTGTCATTGTATTTTCAAGCAAACACGTAAAAAAAGCTAAAAACATGTACAATTTCCATCTATTATGTAGAGTTATCTGTTGTTAATGTCTCTTTACGGCTGCGATCACAGTTAAAAATAGAACGCTTTCACTAAACTCAAGAGATATATTAATCTTTTGTATTTAGGCTCAAAAGTCGAGTGTTTCAACCGATTCCTACCATACACTGTATGTGCTACTCAACACTGCTACGGCGCTCTTTTTACCGATTATAATAGAGCTTTTCCAATTCAACTCATCTGGTTCATCCTTCATTCTGATCCTTCGCAATATTTTGCATTTCTTTTATTAATTTTAAACCCTAATCCCCTTTTCGATTTAACTTAGGGACTATATCTGAATCGGAATGCAGCAATGCAAAAAATATGATCAAATGTAAAAAAAATAAAATGCATGCATTCTCTTCCACTTTGTGTACTGCCGGACAAAACCATATCCTTTTAGTTCGTGTTTCAATGCGAAAGCAAAATATTCGTACGACACTGTCAGAGTACACATTTTTATCTCTTGATCAATACATTAGAGATATATAAGTTGTTACCCAAACAAATTTCTTTTTGCCTTAAGAAATACCGTAAAACCACCAGAAAAACCATGAATGGCGTTTAGGCTGCCCATATCAGCTTAGTTATCCTACTGTTTCATTTATTATTTGTTAGTTTTGCACCGTCGGTGGTTTTATAAAGGGTCGGTGATTAGAATACCTCTTTTAATGTTCGAAGTCAGAAGATGCAATTTATTTTTTCCTTTTAGAAAAAAAATTTTCATTACGAAACCACCTTTTGTGGATTTTAATTTCACAGTTTTTTCGAATTTCGGTTTAATAATATATCCATGCACCACAATCTCTGAGGTCGTATTAGCAAACAATGTATGAAATAACCACCATTTTCTGCTCAAGTATTCTCAAATCTTAGCGTCTAAGGTGGTCCTAGAATCCAAACCATACCGCAATACCAAAATAGTGAATCAAAAACAAATCTGCTAGATTCATGATCAGCTCACTTTAGTCAGTGTACAATCACCACTGGTCCTAAAAATTGGCACTTAAAAAGACTTAAAACCTTTTAATTTTGCTGCACCTTTAATAATGTATCGGTCAAATTTGCACATCCCCATTGCTGCATCTTGTCTTGCTAACGCACGCGAACAGAAATTTGTGATGTCGTGTAGACTTTTAAATTTTATTGTGGAAGTAGGTATGGCGTTATTCCGCAGAAATTCATAATTACCACCACAGATTAATTTATATCAGTTTTTTGAAATCCAGGGATATCGGAAGCTAGACAGTGCAAAGGCTCTCATAGCATCTGATACCCATTTAATTTGTACGAACTATAGTCTCCTTTTGTTAATCGAATTAAACGCTGTACTGAATAAATAAACTGAGCCCTCCGGAACAAATTTTGTTTCAGCATTCCAATGGTCAGAGCCAAATGTATCATGTGACTTTCGCAAGATGTGCTAGGCAATTATAAAAATCTAACCTAGTGATCGCAGATCACGTTTTCTTTATTCCAGAGAATTTGAAGTTTTCTGATCCACCCTCCGCGACGGGAAGGAAATCGGTCAACCGCTCTAGTGTTTTAGAATAATCTGGAACCTTTAATGATCTTTATGAACAAAAGACATCTAAAAAAATTTAAGGTAAGAATTGTGCGTCATGTATGGACAACTTTCAATAACTTTTGCCTATAATGAACCATCGAATTTATCATTTGCATAAGTCAACCGATGTCGCTAGCCTTTTCTTAACTATTCAATAAAAACCTTAAATAACCCTAAATGTTTTTTTACGGTAATTAGTACACGGCTTTAGGGAGCAGATGATGTTATTGCGCCATTATCTATTTTATTGCGGCTCTTCACCAACTGCTTGATCAATCATTTTAACTTACCAGCAATTTTCTGTTAAAAATTCTTTTAGTTTTTAATGTTTAAATAAAATATTATTTTAAATAGGTACTTTTGTGATTTTTTTATACAATTTAGGTACAGTTCACGTCTTTCTTTATGCTTAACATTTAAAGATAAATTTATTGGTTTGGAGCCTCGTTACGAAATTTGCCGGTTTTGCGTTTAGTTGCATCTACAATGAGTATCCCTGCAATTCCAGGTGGAATGATGTCCACAGGTGCGCATGCTGTACCAACACATTCTGCTACCATCCAATCTGGCCCTCAAATCATAACTCCAAATCATACTATTTATATCAACAATCTTAATGAAAAAATCAAGACTGACGAATTGAAGAAATCTTTGTATGCCGTCTTTGTTCAGTTTGGACAAATCCTCGACATTATAACAGGTAAACCAGTTGTGTTTATGGTGTAGTCTTTTTGGGTTTCTGTCTTTGGTTTGGGGGACTGTCTAATACCTATTCAATCGCCATCTAAAATTTGATGGAAATAGTTACTTTTTCTTTACTCTTGCTTTGTGCATATCGAGTCTTTCCTTGAACGATTTGTCTGTACTGAACGTGTGTTCTTCGGTTATGTCCTCAGTACTCGCTTTTGAGGGCCGCGAGTTTATTAAAACATCATGTTTTACTTCAGGTAAATCTGTCAAGATGCGTGGCCAAGCTTTTGTGGTGTTTTCCGAAGTGAGTAGTGCTCGCAGCGCCCTCGAAGCAATGCGTGGATTTCCGCTGTACGAGAAGCCCATGTGTATTAATTTCGCACGCACGACGTCCGACATCATTGCCAAGCGCGAGGGTACTTACGTTGAGCGTCCCAAGCGTCAACCTCCTCCTCCACCCCCGACTCAACCCAATCCATCCCTGGACGCGGCTGCGATGATTGGTGGTGGCAGCGCGCGGGCCATTCGTCGACGCCAACAGCGTCTTGCAGCTGCTCAGGCGGTCGAGAACGGTGGAACCGCCTCACAACCTCATCCTACACAGCCGCAGCACCACGCACCTCCTCCAATCAATCCGGCCACGATTCCAGACCAGCCGCCCAACAAAATTCTCTTTCTCACAAACCTTCCCGAGGACGCGAATGAGGCGATGCTGGGCATGCTTTTCGCACCGTTTGTGGGCTTTCGTGAGATACGTATGGTTCCATCAAGGCATGATATTGCTTTCGTGGAGTTCTCTAGTGAAACCGAGGCCGCCACTGCCAAGCATGGACTTCAGGGCTTCAACATCAGGCCTGGCCATCCTCTCCGAATCACATTTGCCAAGAAATAATCACTCCAAATGTAGTCCCGCTGTCTGTTTGTTTTTACCAATAAAGCTCTGCGTAAAAAGCGACACATCTTCTGCTTCTCTTGAAATTTCTCTTTTTTCGATTGCGTAAATAACGCTTTTATCTTTAGAGCAATGGATATTCGTCCAAATCACACTCTCTATGTCAACAATCTGAATGATAAACTGAAGAAGGCAGATCTCAAGCGGGCCCTGTATTATCTCTTTTCACCGTATGGCCGTATAGTTGACATAATTGCAATGAAGACGCCCAAAATGCGTGGACAGGCTTTCATAATTTATCAGAGTATCACGTCGGCAACCAATGCGTCGCGTGTACTCCAAGGCTTCCAGTTATTCGAAAAGGTGGGTCATTAAACGCAAATTGTGGTGTTTTTGTTCTTGATTTTATCCCGGTCTATGGTGTGTTTCTGAAGGGAGCTGTAAGGTATATTATGTTGTCGGTTGTAGCCAATGCGGATCCAGTATGCGCGGAAGAATTCCAGTCAGATTGAAGTACTTCAGGGCGTCAACGCGGAGACTCAAAAGAAGAAGGAGGAGGAGCGCGAGAAGCGGCGTCGGAGGAAGCTCGCCCAACGCCAAGCTGCAGCCGCCGCCGCTGCAGCAGCTGCGGTTGGCCAGCTTGGCGGCACACCTGGGGTGAGTTTGCTCCCTCTTCTGTCAAACTATCCTGCTTCACAGGCGGCTTTGCCTCCTTGTGTTTTTGCATAAACACACTTTACTTACAGTGTCATAAGTATAAATGATGTTTCCTAGGTTGACGCAGAAATGGAGGGTGAACCACCGAATCGCGTTCTCTTCGTGAGCAATCTGCCCGAGGAGACCACGGATGCCATGCTGACAATGCTCTTCAACCAGTTCAGCGGATTCAAGGAGGCCCGACGCGCTGTCGGTGGAATCGGCTTCGTGGAGTACGAGACGGAGGCTCAGGCTTCTGCCGCAAAACTCACCTACCACGGCTTCAAGTTGACGCGAACCCACGCCATTAGTGTGACCTACGCTAAGCACTGAGGGCGACATCGGTTATGCCTTCCGTCCTTCTTGTACAGTTATTGTATCGATTTTTTATTACTGAATAATGTACCCTTCAGTCTGCAGTATGTGGTTTTGGAAGTCATCTCGATATTACTCATCCTAGCTCGTAATTGGTTAGTGTATCCACTACGTATCTCATTAGCGTCCATTTTCGTCTCGAAGAAATCTGGAAATTAGCAATGGAGCAAGCAGAATACGTTGGTTCCCCCCTGTGAATACTCTAATTCCAAGAACTTACGGCACCATTTTGAACCATAAATTGTTTGGCTGGACGCTTGCGCTGATTAGCTAAGCCAGAACGATAACGTTGAAGTGGCTGCAGTGTGTCCACTTCACCAGAAAAGGGCCACTAAGGCAGAACAGTTTGCGTTTTTCCTCAAGACCCGAATTCAAATGTTCCACATTCGACGGGTTCTCTGCTGTTCCTGCCAATTTGCTGAAGCACTCTGAAACATCGCCTGTTTTACCAGACTCGACATGCCAGGTGTTAGAATCACGTTTGCACCAGAAATTGCTTGATTGATATCCACTTGGCTAATTGAGCACTGCCGAAACCAGCCTTAACTAACTTGTCATCCGCGAGCTAGAACTGACGTGCAAGTCATCGTGAACCCTTGCCAAGTGCCGTGATTGGTGACAAAGTTTGACACCACAGCGTTGCTTGTGCAGACGTCAAGTGCGGCTGTCTGGCCTTCAGGTGAACTCACCACTGGCCAATGGCAGATTGTCTAGCGGTGAGGTTATAGGTGTGCTGCCAGCAGCTACATTCGCGTCAGCAGCTACTCACCGTAGCCAACGCAGTCAACTCACCAGTTGGCACGATGAGGATTCATCTGGCAGTGCGCCTGGATGTTGGGGTAATTTCCAGACCATGTTCTGCGGTCTATTCGAAGGTGAAGCCACTTGTGGTGACACGCTTCTAGAAGGACCTAGGACCTTTAGGCATGGAAGCACCACTTGACAAGCGCCGTGGTGTTGGTGGAGGAGGGGGGGCATGAGCAGGCAGCGCTTTGCGCTTGAGTGGCGACTGCACGTCAGCAGCTCTCAAGCGCCGCTGCTCCTCTCGGTGTTATTTCAAGGCCACACAAAAAAACCCAAACACGCACACTCAGGCATGGGGGGGCCTCCGTCATGCCGCAGCACCGATCCAAGTCGTGAAGCTGACACACCTCCAACAATGGCACTCATTCAAACAAACGACACGGTGTGAGATGATAAGCATTCGGGCTGAGATTAGACTAGGCTGCATTCGCGTGAGTCAGCTCTGATCAGGCGCCAGTGCCTCACACCAAAATCCACTGCAATCGCCTTCACCATTTCCTGGTGGTGAAATAAAAAGAGGTGCACTCATCCACCCACGATTACACGAGCTTCGAGCCACGTCCACCGTTCACTAACTCGCAGTGTGTGAGAAAACGCTTGTTGCTCGACGTCGAACAACTTCCTTGAAGTTGAATGCTGTTTCCTGGCAGACTCATAGCTGGCTTTTCTTGTAACTGCACTGATTCGTGTGTTGATATTAGCGTCGATGTTAGTTTGTCCAGAACAACGGCTTTGATATGTAAATGTATTTTTTCTACAATTTGATTGATGCCAGTGAATGCTGCCCATGGCCATTCTGGTCCGCGTGTTGAGGTTAAACGTGAACAGAGAAGGCTCATGTGGAATTTCAAATGAGCATTATGATGAACTCTTCGTAAACTACCTCATGGCCAGCATCTGCACTACGGTTATCCAGCACACAAATTCGGTGTCACGAGCGTTATGAACAAGTAGACAAATCCCTGATAAGGACAAAGAGGTAGACGCCTGTGGCATAACCCTTTACTGTCTCAGGCAAGTGCCCCAGTACCGGTTGAAGTCGAGCGCAGTGGTGTAGTCGGTGTAACTACGCTCCCACGTTCTCTTCCTTTTGGCCGTTACCAAGACAACACCCACCCAGATAACCGCTACCCAGATCCCGAGTCTCACGCTATAACAGTCCTTTCCACGACAATGCAAGTCATGACAAGACCTCGTGTAGAGACCTTTCGTCGACCCACCTGACGACCAACTGATCTCTTACGCTGTCAACACCTACACAAGTCAAGATTAGCCTTGACCTGATGGATCAAGGCAGATTAGCACAGATGGGGCTGTTTGTAGGTTGCCGTGTGTGGGCCACCCGTTGACGTGGCGTTGTTAGGGGATTAATTCAAACAATGACGACTACCAGCAATAAACCATCTTGGACAATCCTGGATAGCCAATACCTATGCATCCCTAGACTAATTTCGATCGATGATTTGAGAGTTAGTAGCGCTGCTTCACAGGTTGCCTGCGTGAACAGAAATGCATCGTGACTGTGGTACTCTTGTAGACACATCCAAGCGAATAAATGCCACCGATCGCAGTGTTAATTAATTCAGCTGTCTTAGCGAATGTTGCCACACCAACTGCATCAATTGTCATTTCTCTCAAGCTAGTCAAACCTACTGGTTAGTGGGATATCATCACGAATTGGATGGGATTGAATAAGGCTCTTACGTGGAATGGCAGTCAATCGGTGTTGGCGGCTTGCATTACGAAGGCAATTAAACCAGGCATGAAATCTGCAGTAGTATCAGGCACAATGAACCAGTACAGACCACACCAAAGACAGAAGTGTCCTGCTTCCGATTAGGCGCATTTGTCGACACTGAGCCCCATCTCTTAAACCACACTCTTTTGAGCTAGTTCCGGCAGCGATGCAACTAACATCTCCACTTCTGTCTGACTATCAAACAACAGACTTGGACTAATCGCATGATACAGACAGTGTCCACTGACGGTAATGACGCAGTGGACCGCATGCGCTGATTCCCGGATCCACCAGACAGTCAGATGGCTCACACATAAAATAGCATGCATCAAACCAGTTAGCGACTGGAAGGAATCATTGATTGTTCACACATGTTCAGTTTAATTTCTGGCTCCATATTCGACAGCACTCGCTTGCCAACCGCCATTTCGTCGATCACTGCAGCCCAAAAACAACAACATGACTGCAAAAAGCACTCAGCGGAGCACTTGTCTTCAGTGTGTCATCGCGGTAGTTATTCCAAGTACACAGACCTGGCTGATGCCTGATCCTGCCGGTAGGTCGGTATTCGGGAATGTCTTGAAGTCGTTCCTGCAAGATGTCGAAAGCATAGGGTTTGCTCTGCTGCATCCCCAATCGATACGACAAAGTCGTCGACGACTACGGCCTAATATGTCAAAAAACGGTTGGGATGATTAGTGGCACACAATGCCCTAGTGCCTATCGAGTGCATCGATTAATTAACCATAGAACAAGATCTCATGCTGACAAATGTGTCCACGTGGACCAAATATTCTTAGCTGAGATATAATAGCCTTGTTTGCTGTCAGATTAGAAGCCTTTCAGAATGCCAACTTGCGGTATTAGTGTGTGTAGTGCCTGCCGTTTCCATTACATCGAAGCGCTTGGCACAAAACTCGCCTGCCGAAAACTACCTTTTGGAATATCCCAAGTAAAAGCGCTAAGCTGATTCAATATTCGAAGATGTGCTTGCTGGTTCACCGCAATCCCATTCTCAACAACGACAGCCAGTTCTGATCTCAAACTTTCCATGGTAGAGTTCCAACAATGACCTTGTTGTCACCTTTCGCGCGGGCATTTTGGATATGTTTAGACCCAAATGTGATCGGGAATCAATTCTTCATTGCCTGCAGTGAATCGCGCTGATTTGCGACCACCAATCCGGTTGCCGCATTCTCCGCCACACTGACCTGACGGCGTCAGCTCTCGATCCTGCTGAGCAGTCTGCTCACACACGCCCCTGTGCGTTCACCGCCTCCCCACTGTCCGTTTCACTCATCTAACCGTTCACCCAGACTGCATTAGTCAACATCCCGGATTTGTGCGCCCAGTGGTGGGACAAACACAACTAGGTTGAGCTGTCCGGCAAACGATCGCGTTTCTGCTCTCTCTGGTAGTCTTCTGATCGTCGTGGGTGTCTGTCTAGCATAAAGGGTTTACGACCGTATGACGGGCTCTTCAACACCGTGATTGGAGACTCGAGTATTAGTCAATGCCAAGTAGGAATGGACACCCTTTCTTGGTCCAAGAATTTAAAAATACCGGTTGAAATATCATCAGAAGGTGCCCCCCAAGTGCCAATAATGTTGAATTCACACGGTCTGATTGCTGTTTATTTCTTGAATTTCATGGCATTTGAATTAACGAAATCCCACAGGATTGCGATGTGATAATGAGCATGCTAATTGGCCCTTGTTTCCTCGTCGGTTTGACTCTGAAGTTTGACTTTCAAAACAAAACTTGTTTTCTTGCGGTTGGACGCAAACAAAACACTTTATGCCCATACAGGCGTCACTATAAGGTCTTTTTCTTGAGCTTACATCGGGGTCACGTAGTTTGTACTTTCAAGAAGTGTTCCTTGACTACTGTTGTCTTGATGGAGGGATCTGTTGTAGATTAGACCACACCCAGTTGACAGGCAACATCAACGAACTCAAATCATTATTGCTTATCGAAATCCAAGGAACCCAAGGTAGATTTGAAATTGGCTCTACATCGAGATCATGGCTGCACGCTCGGCGTTTCTTGCCAAAAGGCCACGTGACAGAGCATAATTTGAAGATGCTTCGACGTACCCCAAGAACTGCAGAATGGCACTGAATCACACTCGTACTTGTGTCTCCACTTGAGCCTACCACACGTCGTCAAATGGGGTACTTACTGCAATGAAATTAAGCATGCAAATCAAGTCCATTCAAATCAGCATGCTAATAAGATTTGAAGACGCCAATTTTGTTTTTCATCCAAACAAGAGTCAAAATGCCGTTTTTTAACTAAAGACTAACTCAAGCTTGCAATGGGACTAACCATACCCAAACGTGTTATAAGTCGTGAACGCAGAAGGTTGGGATTCAAGAGTAAACTAAGTTTGGTGATGTTGGCGTGCTCTATTCTA